GCATCCTTAAGTGGGTGGCCGGCCTACCTAGAGGAGAGTCCTTCCAGGGCCTTGCTCAGACACTGTGGGGTGTTGTCCACAGATGGTGGTGCCTCTGGGGTGTCTGCTTTGGAGTCTCCTTCTGCTTCCCCATCAGGTTCTCCAGCCAGACCCAGTCCCAGAGCCAGCCGCTCTTCTCCATCTGCTTCCTGCACAGCAGCAGACCAAGAAGAAGTGGTACAGGTTCACTGAAAACACCAGGATCCAGGGCCTGGGGTGTCTCCGTGGTATTTATAAAAGCTGGCCGGGTGGCAGCCTTATCAGACATTTTGAAACTATGAATTTCACTCCCAGGGAGGGAGGGCCTGCCAAAAACCATTATGTTCTGAACCAGGTGGAATATAGGTAATGTTAAATAAAATGAACTACATTAGGAACATTTTACACGCCGCGTCAGATCAGCAGATCCCTGAAGCATAAAGCATTTCATTGGTACCAGAAGCCTGGTAATAGCTCTCCTGATCAGAATTAGCTATGAATTTCAGAGGTGTTTCTCCCTCCCTGTTTGCTTCCAGGTCCCTATTTGCAGAGACCAGACAGGACAGGCAGGGCAGGCAATGGCCTGGGGCCCCGAGCTGGCAGGGGGCCCCCGAGGGCCAACGATTTCATAGTACATTGCAAGGACAAATCTGCATTGTTTTTTGTGTATTCTGTTTTTCACAGTAAAGTGAAAATAAATATGTTGTGTTTATTAAATTCTCTTTGTTGATATTATTAATTTACACTTCACAGTAAAATAAAGGTGATGTGTGTTTTTCCATGCCGGGGGAGGGGGGAGCTGGAGGGAGTGTTTTGCCTGGTGTCCATAGAATCACCTCTGCCTATCTGAGCTCTGAAACACAAAACACAAAAAACACAAAAGCCCAACATCTGAGCCAGAAAAGCAGGAACAAATCCCAAAAGAAGAGGCTCGTCCTGCGGAGGGCACAGCATGATCCTGCAGCTGCATCGCTGCCATTATTATGAAGATAATAGGTGATATACGAGCAGCAGGCGCTGTCTGGGGAGACGGAAACAGAACAGAGATGGGGAGTGATGGCCAGCAGGACAAACACATTCACCTGCCGCAAGGGCCCAGAAACCTACAGCGGGACCTATAGCAGCCTGGGCTCCCCTTCTGCGATATAGTGCAGTACAGTATGACAACAGAAGGGCTGGCATTGCGCACACACACACACACACACACACACACACGACTGTCTGCAAGCCAGGCTATAAAAGGCAGCTTGCCCCTTTAAGGGGTCCTGTCAGTAAAAAAAAGTGCTAAATAAGCTTCAGACCAACAAAGAAACCAGTGTCTGAAAACATTAAAGCTTTGACTGCCCAGCTCTCTATGGGACCAACGTGGCAATAACTGCGAGAACATTTCCATCAATGATCCTTTGAGACAGATTTATACATGTGAACAGAAAAGGTCCAAGCTGACTGGTCAGCGGACGGGAAACCGATGTCCATAAAGCAGAAAGTCTGGAGGCTAGTTCTGCTTGTCCATATTTCATGTTTGTGAACTTTTTATTACTTGATTGGAGTAAAGAGAAAATGAGAATGATCCATTACACAAGTTTAACAGTCTCATACAGCCATTCCATGAATAAGATGCAAACTCTGATTACTGATTATTGAAAGAAAATGTTCAATTTATCAGAGCACAGCATCTGATGCATGCCATCATACAACCTGAATATCCATCACCTGTTCTCAGGTCAGTTACTCCTGATCAATGAGACTGTAAAACTTACAGAGGTCATATCATTTACAGCTGTTCCAGGAACAGCCAGTCATGCTAAATTTGAGGGTTCTGAAGAGTCATTCATACTTCACATTCCTTCCAGCCACTGAAGGGGAAGGTGCCATTACTGTCCTAGCCCGTTAAATCCCCTACAAGGTGTCAAAGGGAGGCCCCATCAGTAGTTTTCATGGGCACAGCAAACAGCAAACAAAACCTGCCTGCAGCTGACAACAGAAACAGTCTACTTAGGTTGGCTGCAGAACACCTGCTTTGAGCAGCAGGACCCAGATCTAGACTGTGGATCTGCAGAGTGATCTCTTCAAACCGTGCAGTGTAAGCTGTACGGAAGGAGTCTGCTGCAGTGCGAGCTGTATGGACGGAGCGCTCCGCGGTGCAAGCTGTACGGACGGAGCACTCCGCGGTGCGAGCTGTATGGACGGAGCCCTTCGCGGTGCAAGTTGAATTGAGAGAGTCCTCTGCAGTGCAAGATGAATGGACAGACCCCTTTGCAGTGTGAGTCAAATCAACAGAGCCCTCTGCAGTGCAAACTGTACCATCAGAGTTCTTTGCAGTGCAAACTGAATGGACAGAGTCCTCCACAGTGTGAGCTGTATTGACAGAGTCCTCTGCAGTGCGAGCTGTGTTGACAGAGCCCTCTGCAGTGCGAGCTGTGCGGATGGAGTCCCCTGCAGTGCGAGCTGTGCGGATGGAGCCCCCTGCAGTGCGAGCTGTGCGGATGGAGCCCCCTGCAGTGCGAGCTGTGCGGATGGAGCCCCCTGCAGTGCGAGCTGTGCGGATGGAGCCCCCTGCAGTACGAGCTGTGTGGATGGAGCCCTCTGCAGTGCGAGCTATAACCACAGAGTACTCTGCAGTGCAAATTGTACCATCAGAGTCACATGCAGGACAAGCTGCACTGACAAAGTACCCTGCAGTGCAAGGTGTACCAACAGAGTCCTCTGCAGTATGAGCTGTAATTCAGGACCTCTCTTCCTTATTCTGTATTGTCAGAGTCCTCTCTCCTATGATTTGCACCATCAGAATTGGTGCTGTGCAAATGAGTGTTTAACCAAAACCCCAGAAGATGTAACATGAGAAATGAGGGTCCCACGCCTTACAGTGTTCCTTCACAAGCATGCCAAACCTGAGTCTCCAGTTAACAGCCCCATATTTGGTTACTGTTGCTCTGCTTCCGTTGGCATGTCAATGATGAATACGAAGATCAGGAAAGTTCAACTGACGTTACTTGAGTGGCGTGAAAATATCCTTCTGCTTCTATATTTTATAATCTCTCTGTCAGCAGCTACAGCTTCACTCCACACTTCTCATACCATGAGGATATGACTCAAAGGTTTATGAATCATGTAGAAAGTGAGAATGTATTTCTGTCCTGTGTTTAAATGGTAAGATTGCAAATAAACAGCACATACTTCGCTATCATTTAAATTTTGATGATATTAATACATTTATGTGTACTATTAATTTTACTTGTGCTATTTTGGTGCACATAAACAAACCCAAATAAAGTCTAGCTCCACTGAGAAAGGTTTAAACAGACGGAACATCTTCAGTCAAAGGCTCGTTATCTGTACCTAATGAGTCTGAAACCAGGAATGTGACTTGGCGAGTTCCAGACCCAAAGACACACAGCTTTATTACTAAAGCACGACTATAAGCTCTTCCAAGATCAAGACCGGCTTTTACGTGACCCTCAGCATTAACAGGCTGGGGGTCTTCAGCTATAATCCAAACGACGACACACGCTCCGGCCATACAAAGATCATCGTCCACTGTTAAGGATGAGGCAAAGCTAGCAATCACAACTGGAGCATATATCCCTGAGATTATATATAATCCGTTATGAAAAAAACTAAACTGCAAATAAATCTTTTGCGTACGTGTTACACAACATCCGAGACACGTCTCACAAGAGATCACATTTACTGCATGATTACTACAGCATTACAAAGTGAATAAGCTTTGAATCCCAGCATCTGTAGACAGAACAACACCCAGAGAGCTTGCATAGCTGAACTCAAATCAACAATGTACAAATATGTTAAAACGTTAGAATTATGGGTAGCACAGTGGCTCAGGGGGTAACACATACGCCCCCCAGGTTGGAATTTTGGGTATGGGGTTTGCAGCTTGTTGGCTTTCTCTTGGTACTTTGGTTTCCTCTGGTAGTACAAAAACAGATACATAGGCAAACGTTCTTCTCTAAACTGCCAACGCTGTACAGATATGACTGTAGGTGTATGCATGCATTTACCCTGGGACGGACTAGCATCCCATTCAAGGTGTTGTTGAGTCTTATGCTGCCTGTCACAGGCTCCAGATCCCCCTTAAAACCTGTACTGTACTAGATAAACAGTTGAAAGATGGATGGACGTTAACATTTTGTGAATATAATCATCATCTTTCAGTGTTGTGACATAACCCAGACAGGTGAGAATGGCCTTAGTAGTCTCCTTTACATAGTCAGCTGAGTTAATCAGCCTGCTGGCAAAGTTAGAGCCTGTAAAAACGACGTTCAATTGGAGAATGATCCTTAGTATGTGGACTGGTACCAAACAGCTTCATCAAATCAGGTCTGACCCCAGGATGAGGATAATGCTGCAAAATCACAGTAATCAGGAGTCAAACACCTTCATTAAGTCCTGTATTACCCCATGGTGAGAAGGACCTACAAAATCCCAGTTAATCGCCAGGAGTCCAACACCTCCATCAATCAGAGCAGGTATTAGAAGCCAGTTTGCTGACTTAACAACTGCAGGTGCGTGCTTACATATCTTACGAATCACTGCTATAATATTGCGATCAGCAGAGCTTTCCCGCCGCCTCCTGTACTGCGGTTCTTTAGATAACAAGGGCAGCTACGTCCATTTACTCAACACGCTAAACTAACCCGTGTCCCATAACGCAGTGCCCGGGTACGGCTGGACGCGGCAGATCGGGGGGGGGGGGGGGGAATGCGGATGAAGCCGGGATGATGGTCCGCTCAAGCTCCTATCTGTCCCGGGCTGATGAGCAGAGCCACGCCGCTTTCCTCCTTACCTTCTCCGCACTGGCCGGCTCCCCGCCACCTCGCTTCCTCAGCTCAGTCATTTCTGCCGTTTTACGGTCTTCCCCCCAGTTCCGAAGTGACTCGGCTCCTGCGTCCTCTCACCCCAGCGGAGTGTCCCAGCAGGAAGCCCTCTGCCGGCCCACAGCGACACTCCGGCACGGAGGGCGGCTCTCACCCCCGCCTTGCCTTACCTGATGTCAGCACTTTCTTTCGGTTTGTTTTTCACACTGCGGTGGGATAGCGCCGCACTCATTGGAGCCTATCTGTCAATCAGCTTTATAGATAATGTAATGTGCACAGTCACCATTTTCGTCATCTTTTCGCCACATGTTAATTATACACCAGTTTTAATCAGACCGTTTAATTAATTTGATGGCAAATAATTTAAATGTTCAAATGTGCTCATATTTAACTATACAGGTTACATAAGGCTGACAATTTTTAAATATTTTTTGAGGGGCATTGTGAAGTGCTACGTACGTGATCAACAGACTCTCAAAACATTTTTTACTAAGTGCCTCCTTTAGAGTAGTTATGTTGAGATTAACTGGCCAGACCGGTTTAATCCCACAACTCATATGGTGACAGGTTCACCCACAATGGCTCACCTATGACTTTAACCTTTACCTTGACAGAGATCATACGCCCATGCAACATAAGCTTATTCATCTAAGCTGTTTCACAAGGTCTTACCCCCTGACCAGAGGGAGGGGGTGTGTGTACTTGTGTCTCTCTCGGAGAGCAGCATGGAATGTGCCCAAACTACCTAAATTTCCCCTGAAGGACTAAGAAACTGCACCAATTCTATTCTAACCAGTAGCTAGTAAAATGGGTAGTTATGGTTTAGTGGTGTCTCCAGGCAGGTTGTAACCCGGATGCGTACCTGCTGGGAGCTGCTAGACCAGGGTTCTTCAAATCCAGGCCTTGTTTTCAGTTCTCCCAGGTAGTTGGTTTAATAATTACTGATTCTGATTGGTCAGAGGCTTCACACCTGACTGACAGGTAAAGGAAGGCTGGAAAACCAGCAGTGCTCTGACCTCGATTTGAATAACCCTGTGCTAGACGCTTGGGATCTGTCTGTCCTGTGGAGAGGAGTGTGATCGATAACCAGACAGGGTCTGTTTCCTGTTGGTAGAACTGGTTACTATGTGGGCCACGGTACAGATGCCTGTCTGTATTCCACTAAGGTGAACTTATTGGATGTATGACAGAAGATTCCTGCAGTCCTTCTGATCACCAGACAATCTGAAGCGCAGACTGAGAACGGGGTCAGAAAAGTCCGGTGACCCCAGTGTGAGCAGCCCTTTGTACCTCACTGTGTGGTCAGGACCTTCGGCCTTGATGATGTCATTACTGTGATGTTGTCTTAATAGGAGACCCCCCCCCCCCATTTTAACTTAATAGTTCTGCTGTGTGTCTGATTTGTGACAGCACACACAGTGCAGTATATTTGTGCTCAGTAATGGTATTGGGGTGTTAACAGGAGAGCATAGCCATAGGATGTCAAACGTGGATGGAATTGATCCAAGAAAACAATTTAAAACTTTATTTCTAGGACATGAAAGACTAACCTTATCTCTAAGTGGCCTGTAGTGTATGAGCTCTGCGACGGACAGTTATGCCATCAGGTGTCCCCCAGCCTTGTGCCCTGTGCTGGGCTCTAGGCCCCTGTCACCCCGACCAGGAGAAGCGGTTAGATGGATGGATGGATGGATGGAAAGCCACTGTTTGCTTCCTTGTGTGAAGAGTGTTGTATTCACGTAGAATACGTCTGTGACTGTATGTCTGAATGCCACGAGTCCCAGGCTGGAGACTGCGGCTCATACACACATACATGTGTGACACACCGAACAACAGAGAGGAGTCTGGGTAAGATTTAATACCACAGAGGGAATAACAGGCCTAAACACTCCAAAGGCCATCAAGGGGCAGCAGCGGGGGAGGGGCTTCCTGCAAGGGCCAGACAGCTCTGCTTCATGCAGCCGAACACTGTGTGGTAGCAGCGTCCCTCGGGGGCCATGAGGTCAGTGACGACGTCGGCGTGCTGCACGTCGGGGAGCAGATAGAGGGACACCTTCAGCGAGAGCGCGGCCAGGGCCTCCGAGAAGCGGACGGAGGATTCCACGGGGACGACGACGTCACCGGTGCCGTGGATCAGGCAGAACGGGGGAAGCCTGCACGCAGGGGAACAGCAGGGGTGATTTACGCCCAGACGGCGGGCCTGTGAAGTGGGTCAGAAGCGCTGACCTAGACTCGGTACCTACCTCTCCAGTTTGTCTCGGGAAAGCCTCTGCAAGAACCTTCTAGGTGAATAAAGATGAAAGTTCTCCACCCCTCCCATGGCCTTGTGCATCGACGACACAAACTCCACCCCCCGCGTCCGTTCGTACTCATAGTGGTCCACAATGTCGTAGACGCCGCTCAGACCTAGGGCAGAGTTCCACAAAATGCCGTGGAGATCTCAGACCGCCATCCCCTGGGATCTGACCGCCACACGACTCAGGAGGGCGCCCACCTATGACTCCCCTGATGGAGGAGAACATTTGCCTCTGGGTCTCCTCCTGAATGCCCAACACGTGTGAGCCCTCAGCCAGGAAAAGCGTGGTCAGAGCACACAGGTGAGCGCCGGCAGAATGGCCAACCAGGAACACGCTCTCCTGACCGGAAGGAGAGTAGAGAGTAGAGCAGGTGGAAGACAAAGGGGGGGGGGGTGCCCTTCACGTCATACCACCACAAACCCTGGAAAACTGCAGTGTACAGTGAAATTAAATAGTTCTCACTTACAGTGTCAATGTTCCACTTCTGTCCATTTTCTTTCAACCACAGCAGACACTCAGTGATATCTTGAACCATATGGGAGACATTCCCCTGTATACAGACACAACATTCATACAGTCGGGGCAGAGAAATCCGGGGGATGGGGGGGGGGGTGTAGCCCCAATATTTAATTGGCTTTACATTTATATTATGACATTGTCCCCCCAAGCCCAATATCAGACTCTGTCCTACATCGCTAAGTACCCTGCACATGCACTTCTCCAGACCAGAGACTAGTTACGGGCTGTATGTCACATTCCTGCCCTACTATGACCTGAATGGTGACACACCTTGGGAAAAGTGGAATAATCCGGGCAGATCACTGCTGCACTGAGCTCCCTGGCCATCTGCAGGGACAGCAGGCAGTAGGTGGCCCTTTCCCCTGAGCCCCAGGCCCCTCCGTACACAAACACAACGGCGCGGGTGCCAGCGGCCTCTGATTGGTCCGTTTTAGGGGAATAGTACAAATCCAATCTCTCGCCACGGGAACCAAAAACGATCCCCTGTATAAGAAAATATCAGAATCATAATACAACTATTAAAAGTGTACCAATGGTACAATGTAAAATGAGTTTAAATTTAATTTTAATATCACAAGAGAATTAATATCGTATTGCGTATTCCTGTCATAACCTTTGGCCGGTTAAGTAAGGCCATCTACTGGCCAATAAGGTAATGGGAACGTTAGTGGCACATTGTTATTTATCTGAACGTTTAGGTATGTATTGGGTGTAGGCTTTTACTTTTTCGTAATATTTATGATTATCGATATTCTTGTACCACAGTTTCCACCGACAGTACAGTCTGCCGTATTTCAGGTACTTCACAGTTTCCAGCACGGCTCTGGTTAAAGCGTATATCCGCCTTGGGAAGAGACAACAAACATTAACTTTCACTGAATCGGTGAGCTTAAAGCATCATGTCGGTATGTGAACCAACCCACCAAGGCCTTAGCGCTTCTACGTATTTCCAGGGTCCCGGGTACCCGGGCCAGCCGTACAACCACTGCGCCAAAAGTGCGACGCTGTAAGGAACAACGATAAACGCGGCCCCGGCAGCTGCGGCCAGAGACACGCCGCACTTTACAACAGTCCTAAAGATTAAAAAATGACGCATTAGTTTGTACTCCTTCCTGGTGAGTAATCTTACTTTGCTCTTCCAATTTGGTCATAATTATACTTACATTTTTACAGGAGATTTACGTGGTACCCGGATCTACTGCAAGGCAATGCACAGAAAAGACTAAGCTGAAATATCTTGAGAAAGTTAGTCATTATTAGTCTTACGGGAGAAATGCACCGTTAACTAATTCTAAACTTTCAGTTCACGATCCAGTTAATGGAAATATTACTTAGCAATGCAGCATTCATTCACCTGCACAATATCATATGTGAAGTAACGTTAGTAAACAATCTATGTGTAAAATATATATAAAACGAATTGCTTTTGAAAATGTCGTGTCATATAAGGTGAGTATCGAAGACAATAATCATCATCCATCCAGCATCATGTTACACTATTATACACTATTATTATATTATATATATTACACTATTTCCGATTTTCACTTAACATACTTGTAACAATTAACACAGATGCACATCATTTCAAATTTTATACAAAACCTTTAATGTCCGACCTTGTTCAGGCTTCATGTCATTCCTCAGAAACTGTTATCACATAGTTTTTAGATTACACATTTGACATTTTAAGTGGGTCGCACTCTTCACCCGAACCGGCTGCACCTGCGACCGCATCACTGCATGGGTGGAATCTGCGATTCTGTCCCAGAAATATGACGTAAGAAAACTAACAGAAGACATTTACTCTTTAACTAGTTCGTCGAGCGAGCCCTGCATTCCCATTGGCCCAGAACGTATCCAGACGGTCCTTTGCCTTATTCAGGATAGAGCATGTCAAATATTGTAAGGGCTACTTTACGATATTAAAAAATACTTCAACTGGAAATTTTCCACTGGCCCGCTGTCAAGGGTGTACCTCTGTCTGTGCCCTATAAATACTTGGGTGGATGGATAGCCGTAACTTTAAAAATGCAAAAATTAAATCTACTTAAGGCTTATTTCTGGTTCGAGCAATTTTGCTGTATTAAGATGACTGTGATAATCATACAAATTAGCGGTGTTCGCGTAGTCATACTATGCTGTAATTCACGTTTTATACAGTAGGTGGAGACAACGCATCATGTTTTCAGCGCTATTCATGCCTACTATTTAAAGTGTGTGTATATATATATATCCATCCATGCTTCTTTCTTCACAATCATTTAATCAGCTTGGAGCTTATCCCAGGAAGTATAGGGCATGTGGCAAGAGAACACCCAGGATGAGGTGCCAGTTCATCACAGGGCACACGCATGTACACAGTCACACAACTAATCACACACTATGGGCATTATGAGACACAGACTCACTCTGTGGAGCCACCATGTTACCTTCTGTGTGAACAGTGAGCAAATTATGGCACTGTTGTGAGGTTTCGGCACAGCCGATAAAAATGATTCACCTTCCAAAATAGCAATAGCAGATAAGAACATAAGAAATTTACAAACGAGAGGAGGCCATTCGGCCCATCAAGCTCGTTTCGGGAGAACTTAACTAATAGCTCAGAGTTGTTAAAATCTTATCTAGCTCTTATTTAAAGGAACCCAGGGTTTTAGCTTCCACTACACTAGCAGGAAGACTATTCCATACTCTAACTACACGCTGTGTAATGAAGTGCTTCCTCAAATTTGTTTTAAAATGTTCTCCCGCTAATTTCCACTTATGGCCACGAGATCTAGTATTTAAACTAATATTGAAATAGCCATTTGGCTGAACAGCATCCAGACCCGTTAGAATCGTATAGGCCTGTCCCCCCCTTAGTCTCCTTTGCTCAAGG